GCAACAGAGGTGGGTGCTGCGGATGGTGTCGGTCGCTTCAATTATCTGGTGCCCTGAAGAGTGGACCAAAATTTTTTGCGTCGAAGGTCCCCAAAAAAGACTAACATCTTTAAAAAAGCACTCAACAATAACAGTAGTTCTGCGGCGCTGCTTAACAAGATAAAGCAAATGAGAACAAATTCAGGGATGCTTTAGGAGCGGTCAAAGCCTGAACTTGTCTTTGTACGACGACATTTCATTACCACACGACTCACGAGCCGGCTCCGAAATGTAGCGCAGTTTTTAGAATATAGTTAAATATTCGTAAGCCACTCTTTTTCTAGTATACGGGACATCGCAAACCTGGCAAACGGAGCAGTACTTCTCTTTTCAGACAAGAAAAAACAAAAGAAAACCGTACGAAAGACGAGCACCAGCTCATTTCAGCTCAGTCTGGATGTTGTGAAACCACGCCCCCATCGTCAATGAATGGGGCATGCTGCGGCAAAACATCGCCAACACCACGCATCCACTGCCCTCTAGAGTAAGCGCTATCATCTCTAACGGCGCCGAAATGCACTCCTGACGATTGAAAGTGCTTTCTTTTTTTCAAAGGTTTAGACACCACGCACGGTACATGTTCATTTTTGTGTCTTCCTTAATCAAGCTTATTGCGGTGCGCACATAATGAAGAAACATCCGTGAATGCACACAGTGCCACAATGTTCCGATAGAGCAAACAAGGCATGCTGTAAAATACTGTTTCTAGCGTACCATTATCGCAAATAAAAGCAGAGAGGTTGGCATTGCACAACAACTTTTAGGGCAGACAAGCGTTGCAAGTTGGGCCAGTTTACGGGAGCATGTGAAGAAAAAAATTCATAGCACGAGGGGACAAAAAAAAAGCACGTGCGAGTTTGTCGTTCCTTGTTTATTCGTGTCTTCTGTTGCGGCTCAGATTTTACTGGAAACGATTAGTGCGGAGTACCAGCTTAGTTCTCGCATTAGCAATAATATCCGTGCGCTAGCCGACAGTGCCGCACACGCCTTACCATAGCAAACGACGCGCTTCTACTCTACATCCTTGAAGCGTCTTCGCACGTGGGAACTGCTGCCCGCGCATAATGTTGGCACTAGTCGCATCGCGATGACATTCGATTCGAGATTTCCCGTAAGTATGAAACATCCTGTAAAATCGAAGGAACAGTGTACTTTCTATGTTTTTGCCCCAGAAATGAGGAATAAAGGGAGTGCGTTTTCAGAAGCACGCCCGCACTTTGTTTCATTTATTTTATGCATTTGAGGAGAAGTGTTTTTTTTTTACTTCGCTAGTAGAGAAGGCAGTCCGCTCAGGTGATACTTTTCACACGATAGATTTTCCTGCAAATGCATCCGCCCATATACGTAACGCTGTGGAAATGTTGAGCGTTTTGTAGGGTTGAAGCTGTTCTAGCTCGGGCTAAGTCGTTCGTCGTGACAACTGAGTATGGCATAAGAGCAGGTCACACGACACAGGTGCTTGTGTCGGCGTCCTGTTCTTGTGTCCCTGTTCTTAGCGCTATATTCAGTCGTCACAGTGCACCAACAAGCCGACATTTTGACCGAGCCTTCGGCACGCCATCTTCACTGATGATTGATTGATTTTATTTGTGGGGTTTAACGTCCCAAAACCACTTCTGATTATGAGAGACGCCGTAGTGGAGGGCTCCGGAAATTTTGACCACCTCGGGTTCTTTAACGTGCACCCAAATCTGAGTACACGGGCCTACAACATTTCCGCCTCCATCGGAAATGCAGCCGCCGCAGCCGGGAATCAAACCCGCGACCTGCGGGTCAGCAGCCGAGTACCTTAGCCACTAGACCACCGCGGCGGGGAAGCCATCTTCACTAGTTCCCGAGGAAAGCGCGAGCACTTTTCGTGCGCTCCCTTTCTCATTGCCGGAAGCTTAGTAAGCGCAAAGCGCGACGCAGCTATTCACGAACACCTTGGAAGCGAAGGCAGTGACACTAAACCCCGTATTCACAAACGCTCCTCGACTGGACTTTCCCCCTTCACTTGACAGAGTTGAGCACTGCACCGCCGTTCGGTTGAAAGTAGCGCTGCGCTACTCAAGAATCGCAGATTATTATCGATATGCAGTGACTTGTGACTAGAGACGGCGCTCCCATCGGCTTTGCCAAGTGAAGGTGGAGCGTTGAGTGAAGGAACGTTCTAGGATACGGGGGTAAGAGCTCGCTAGTCGGCTGCAGTGTGGGGTCGTCGCCAAGATTAGTGGTGAGAACATGCCAGAAATCGCAGGCCAACATCATCGATCTGGAGGTGGCGGCACAGGCAAGGGCTCATGTAGCCGCAGCAAAGCGGGCTCATCGACAAGCTGATGGCCAAGTTAGAGCCCACAAAACAAAAGCGGCACGCAAGCCGTGACAAGAAACGTCCAATCGGAGCGGGTGTGAGAAGCAGCGTTCAAGCACCGAAAGCAGTCGCTACCCGAGGCTTCACTCGTTCCGCAGAAGCTGTAACGCATGCGACCGCTTGTGGTTTGATTACAGTCTCAGCACCATCGTCTCCACCCGTAACGACCAGTCTCATGCCAACGCTATATACTGTCGTTTTCCAACGAGATTTCGGTCACAGCCACGTCATCGGCTCCGCGAGCCATAAGTCGGCTCCCAGGCCAGATCCTTGCCCATTGTCAACTCAGATGAACGCCTGATAGTTTCACGACAATCCTTGACGTGACCCTTGACTCGTGGTGGCGGCCAGTACAACATGAAGGGGCGTTAAAATAAGCGTGCCCCAATCCTGCTGCCTGCCACGGAACGTGCCCGACGACGCCGCCTTCAACGCACACCTCAAACGCCGGCTCGTTAGCATTGCAGCTTTACCCCTCTCATCATCACTGACTTCGTGGAGTCGGCGGGATAATTCGGAAGGATACGTAGTGCTACATTAGTGGGTGCTGAAACTGTGATGAAAGCCAGCCCTAATTCACAGTTTGCAGGCTGAACTGTCTCTGCAAGCGCTAAAAGACTTCCTAGACAAGACACAAGTCGATTTCCACCACTCGCCAACGTTCGGAATAGCGGAGCATGAGACCACGAAAAAAAAAATTTGGATTAAAGGGCAGGTGAAGCCGCCCACCATGTACCGATTCGGTAAGCTCGCGATACACGGGTTCCGGAACAAATGTTCCCGAAAGATACGTCCCCCGAAAGAATGCCCCAACTTGCGCTGTCGAAAAAAAAAAAACGTGCCCACAACACAGACATTGTCAAACGTGCTTTGACATCACCTATGATTTTTTTCTCAAATAACAAAAAAACGTGTGCCCGAAGATTACGGTTTACTGAAAGATTATTGACATAGCACTATAATAGCATACCAACTGTGCCAACTTATCTGTATAGGCGTAATGCCAGACGCAATACCACATACAATGCGCATTTCAGATAAATGCAATCAAGCTAGGCACGCGCCCGAAAAAGATAACGGGGGTGGCAGTTCAGGGCCCATGCATTTCATCCGGAGGCAGCAGCTTGGTCGCAGCAGCACTCTGCAGTTGAGTGTACGCTTTCGGGAGCTGCATCAATACTTGCCCTGTGGTTAACTTAACGTTACTCATTTAGGAATGAAGATAATAGGGAGCTTTAGGATAGCGCACGGCGAGCCCTTGCGGTGCGCTCGGTGCTACTGCGCATGCGTCGTAACGCGAGCCGGCGTTCGCGTTTGTGGCCCGCGCGCAGAAAACTCGAAATAGCGTGCGGTGATCGTGGCCTGCAAACGCATTTTTTGAGGCTATGGTGTCGCTGTGATCGTGCGTTGTGGTTTGCCGCAGGCCAAATGCTATTCTAAATATCATATGGCGCCCGTTACGCCAGTAGCGCTTGCAAATGGTATTCTAAAACACCCTACTGAATTCGAACAAATGAGACAAAGATCTGTGTCTGGGCGGCTATGCAAAGACAAAAAATACTGCCTTGGGTATCCTATGGCGTTGTGCTAAACGTAATAGATACAAAGGCGTTTTCATTACGGAGAAATGCTCAAGCGACGAACTGCCACTTGAGCATTCACCCCAACCACCCAGCAGATAATGCTGCAAATAATTGATTTATATGTGAGGTTTAACGTCCCAAAACCACAATATGATTATGAGAGACGCCGTAGTGGAGGGCTCCGGAAATTCCGACCACCTGGGGTTCTTTAACGTACACCCAAATCTGAGCACACGGGCGTACAAATGTTGCAATTAATATCGCAAGAAGAGGGCAGAGAAAGAGACTGCACTTGTCTCTAGAGGAAAAATTCGCTGCGATTGTTACAGTTGCCGTTGCAAACCTTAATAACGAAAAAAAAAATGCCCCGTACGCAGCAAGCAGAACCTAGAACGCTGCACTAGCTAGCAGCGGTGCAAGATATGCCCACCGAGTCCTGTCAGCCTTCAGGGACCTTGCTATTTCGGCACCTCGAACTGTCGCAGTGGGCGTCCGTTCAAACCACTTTTTCTGCTACGGTACTGACCGAGAAAATAAAAAAAAGACTAGTACTTGGGTTTGCCAGAGCAACGTGCTTAAAGTTATCATCAGAGAGCTGCACCTGGTTTATGGGCAGAAATTTTCTAACTGAAAGCTGTTGGACACACGATTTAGTTTTAACTTCAGTCGTTTTTCAGCACACCTTAAAAATTCGCAAAGTGTCGAATAAAAACTAAGTTTGTTTGTTTGTCGGTTGATTTTTTACCTAGAAACTTTTTTTTTCTAGAGAGCCATGCCAGAGAGGACGTTTATTCAGGATAAGTATCTTCCGGAAGCGTAAATTCCAGGGACGTTTTTTTCCGACACCTGGGATACACAGGCGCTTTTACAGCAGCCAAGAAACTACTCAACGGTCACAGGCGGCAAGACCAATTACTGTGCCACAGCATTAAAACCAGCGCTAATGATGTAGCAGCTTCCATCCCACACATTACGTTATTCAGCCTCTACTGACGCCATAGAAAAGAAAACGCATGTTGACTTACCAATAACGTAGTCATAATGAAGATTCAGTGGGCGATTCTTGATTTCCACATTCGGTAGGTATGTCTCGTGAGATATGCTACGAGGATAAAAGGGTGAACTAAAGTAAAATTTCAACAAGGCTGTGACCGACTCCCATAACCAACAAAAATACATCTCTGTCAGTGCTTCTGCAGCGAGACAGCTCATGCGGGACACCTGCTCGTCAGCGAACTAACTGGTCTAGTGATCACTGATTACGACCAACACGTGGCTCACGTACCCAGTGACGCCACCGGTGACGTAGCGGGCCTTCTTATCATTCGTAACTTTTTACTGATATATTTCTTACGTTTAGTACTGAATAAGCGGCTCATTGTACATTGTACTGGTACCTGTAGTGATATCAAAACGGTATCTGCGTGGTTGTGTTTCACCTACTCAGCTCCTAGACACAGCATGCTTGGAAAATTGGCGCTAACGTCAGCGATAAGCTCTTGAGGGCGTATCAAGTCACCTTTGCAAAAACAGAAACATATCCATGGCATGTGGCAGCACAGTCGCAGTGATAGCTCCAAAAAAAATCTGCCTGGAGACTTCCTAAATCACTCTTTGAGAAACTACTACCAATATACCGACAATTCCACTTGTTACCCGTGACACCATAAATTATCATCATTGTCGTGAAGTGATTGAGTGCGCACTTCCACTGGTATACGTCATTCTTCGGAAAAGCATGGTTTTCGACTAAGTAGCTGCAATATATGTGAACTTTGTCAATATAACTGCTGACCACAACGATGCATTTCGACTGAGCAATATGTAATCCTTTGGAAGCATTCAACGACCCACTCGTTACGCAATGGGCGTTATATGACTCCATCTTGTTACTTCACACTGCATGAATTGTCTATATTACATGTTACAACGATTACTTGACCGAAATGAAGCGTATCTAGGGTCAGTTTGCTACAGAGTCACAAGAACATGGGTGACTCTGCCACATTTTTCTTTATGAAGTTTTTTCCCTCGCAAAAAAAAATCAGCCTGTAAAAAAACGGTAACTCATAAAGCGCACACTAGGCACAGCATCTTGCAAACAGCCTTGCACTGCAGCAGTCAACACTCAGCGCTCACAAAAAGCTCGGGCAACATTCTGCCTACCCTTGTTTTGCACGGTGTTAGTAGGAAATGGTCGCTTGTATTGCGAGAAAAGAAAAATCCAGCAGAACCCACGTACCTTGTGAATCACTTTCATGCGAAGCATGCACACAGAAGCCAGCTGTAAGTTAAATTATTTGTTCAGAAAAACGTTACGAAATCACGCTAAGCACATGCACAAATGTCTCGCGTACAGACACGTATACACAGTGGCAACACACTGGTAACACACAGTGGTAACAGTGGCATACGTTATATAGCACCGGTTATTTACCGTTACGTTTTGATGCTTATAGCAACGTGGCTTCTACCAACACCACTAGCGGTAAGCTGAAAATGTTGTGTTTCGGCTTGCCAGGATGGTACCTCTTGATAGTCCAACGTAGAAATACTTCAGTGGTTGGCGCAGAGGTATACAATTGATGCTAACCAGACGTGACACCTGTGCCTTAGGAGGACGCACGTAATGTTTAAAAAACTAGATGGGCAACACTGCCACAACAATTGACATTTCACCAACATCACTCAGACTGAGGGTCTTTTTCCGAACGAACTTCAAAACCTCGCGCAGATCTGTGGTAGAATACTTGATTTCCACGCGAAATGCTTTGATTCAATTCCTGCTGGGACATTTACTCTTTGCATTCGTCGGGTCAACGCTAGCAATGTCGGATTTAACGCTCTCGCTGTTATTTACCAATGCCCACTCTCGCCTTTCGTCGGGTGACATAAACTGGCGAAATTGCGCCAGAACCCATATACTATGAAAAAAATGTCATGCTAAGCATGGTGTGTTAAAAGGACTGTGGTGAATATCTCTTCCTGAGCCACTAGTTATGATATGATTTTAAACCTGGGTACAGTTGTTATACGCACAGACATGTATGTTAAAAAGTCGTACATGTTTTCTATAACCAGTTAACTGTAGAGCCACATAGGTATACTAGCTATACTGAGAGCGCCCAGACGCAAGTAGCCAGATAGATAGATAGATAGATAGATAGATAGATAGATAGGCAGACAGACATACAGACAGACAGACAGACAGACAGATAGATAGATAGATAGATAGATAGATAGATAGATAGATAGATAGATAGATAGATTGATAGATAGATAGATAGATAGATAGATAGATAGATCGATAGATAGATAGATAGACAGATAGATAGATAGATAGATAGATAGATAGATAGATAGATAGACAGATAGATAGATAGACAGACAGACAGACAGATAGATAGATAGATAGATAGATAGATAGATAGATAGATAGATAGATAGATAGATAGATAGATAGATAGATAGATAGATAGATAGATAGATAGATAGATAGATAGGGGGATCTGGCACCGACATGACCGCCGGAAACTTACGTCGAGTATTTCTTCAGTTGATGCAGATTACAGCGATCGCCCGGGACGCCACGGCATCAGCGGTGTGTCCAGCTCTGTCGGACATTTCGGTGACGCAAGACTTCTTCATTGAACTTCCTTGCTTTCCTGCGGTCCGGATTGCACTCGACATGACGGCGCTGCCAGCGGTATCAACGTTCGGTTGCGGGCGGATATGCAGCTGGCAACGATGGAAGCACCGTGACAGCGAAGCACTACAAAAGCACACCCACCACTCAACCACTTTGGGATCTGGCGCCGACATGGCTGCCGGAGACTTACGTCGAGTATTTCTTCAGGTTAGTTACTTTTACCTCCCTGTATACGGTAGGCCATTTAAGAAATCGGCGCCAGATCCCACTGCTGTTCTTTGTTCGGAGCTTTGCTACCTGTCGGCCTTCCACGCTGATGCCGTCCCATGTGCTCATATGATGAAAATGATTTTGCTGTTATCTGGGGATATGGAGCAAAACCAAGGCCCTCTAACACCGCAACAGGAAAAGCAGATGTTCGACACCATCATGACATTACCTTCAATGCAGATCTCTCAGTCTGCCATTCTTGGTGAACTTAGCTCTATCCGAGCTAACCACGAAGCGTTTCAACAAAAAATAACAGAAGAAATACATTCAGTGCGAAAAGAGCAACATGCGCTTGAGCAGCGAGTGGCAGATGTAAATGATAGATTAACGCGTGTAGAAAATAACACCCCCCCTCCCTAGGTAACACGGCCAAAAAAGAACTTGAGCAACTTGCAGCTCAATGTGGAGTGCTTGCGCGTGCGTGTGAGGCTATGAAAAATTGTCAGGACGACCTCGAAAGTAGGAATCGTCGAAATAACCAGGTATTTTATGGTTTCCCAGATAATGAGAATGAAACATGGGCACAATCAGAGAAAACAGTTATTTCTTTTTGTTCTAGTGACTTAAACATCAAAATTGCCCCTGACGCAATTGAGCGAAGTCACAGATTAGGCCGATATTCGGTGGCGAAGAAAAGGCCCGTCATAGTGAAGTTTCTAGCTTTTAAAGAAAAAGAACGTGTGTTTAAGTCTTCTGGCAAGCAAAAGGAAACCAACTTTGGAATCAGTAAAGACTATTTACCCAAAGTCAGACTAGACAGGCAAAAATTGATACAATACGCTAATGAAAAGGGTGGTCATTTTAAGGCTCGTTTCAATAAATTATTCATGAATGACAAAATATTCCTGTATAACAGTGCTGAAGATAGAGTTGTGCCTAGTCGTACTTAGGCAATCACCTCGAAATGACATTTTACTGACAAAAAAATGTGAGAAAAAATGAACTAACGTGCATCGTAGTTAACTGTCGCAGTTTGATAAACAAAAGAACAGAATTTTTTTTTCGTTATTAGACATGACTAAATCACACATAGTTTTTGGCATGGAATCCTGGCTCGGTACCTACCATCGCAGATCATGAATTTTTTCCGTCGACTTATGCAGTATACCGAAGGGACCGCACGGCGCACCGGAGATGGTGAATTCCTAATGATCCATAACAGTATCAGTAGCGTTCCTATTCATGGTGTTAGTGACTTGTGTGAATCTGTGTGGTGTAAAGTTATGCTGAGTTGTGGCTCAACTGTGGCTGTTGGTTCCTTCTACAGGCCCCCTAGTAATACAACACCCGAACCTTTATTTACTTTAAACAATGTTTTGTCAACCCTTAATACAACATACATAATGGTTGCCGGTGATTTGAACCTACCTGATGTTGCATGGTCCTCATTCAAACCGATAATTCACAGTGAGTCACTGCTACATAGAGCTATTCAAGAAATCGTGAATGCCCATCAGCTGTACCACCTTGTGACAGCCCCCACAATGGTGTGCAGTACTAGTGCAAACGTATTAGACCTGTATGTTTTTTTTTTTGCAATAATCAAACGCTTGCTTCCTCTGTTGTTACAGTAGCAGGTATTAGTCATCACAAAGTTGTCCTTGTTGAAATGTACTTAGCTATAGCTCAACAACGAGCTTCGGGGCCCAGAAAGGTGTTTTTATATGAAAAAGGAGACTACGCTTCTATTTCAACAGAACTAGACGCTTATTTACCTGAGTTTCAAGGACTATGCCCCGTGTTCTGACGTGAATAACTTGTGCAATGAGCTGAAAACAAAACTGTTATCTCTAACTCAAACTTTTGTACCATCGCGAGTCATATCAGCCAAACAACGAAATGATAAACTGTGGCTAAGTAAGGAACTCCGAGTGCTCATAAACAAATGAGATCGTCTCTATCGCAAATATTGTCACGCGTCAGCCCTTGAAACATACAAACAGATGAAACTACTTGGTAAAAAGATAAGCAAAAATCTGAGGAAAACAGAGAGAGCATACTTGAGTGATCTGAGTATTAAGGTGAAAACTAACCTGAAACTCGTCTGGAAATACGTTAAAAGACAGACAAAGGTTCCTGTTGGTATTCCTGATATAAACGATGGTACTAAATACTTGTCGGACAGTACAGGTAAAGCTGAATGCTTTAACCGGTACTTTCAGTCTGTGTTTTCGGTTGCGTCAGCCGTTCAAACTACAATGTGCGACACAGTAACGTTATCGGAAATGGCGGAGTTTGAAATTTCAAAACAAGGTGTTGC